ATTCTGTTATCCACCAGTCCATACAGCCCGGATGCTCTATTACTTCTACGTAGAACAAGCTTCCCTCCTCTAGCTGTCTGGAAACCTTCTCTCCTCTACCTAACCTTCAAAACTCCAATGGCCCCTTATCTGTGAAGCCTTCCCTGTTCCCATCCCAGGCAAAGTTTCATCTCCTGAGTACCCAAATCATCATGCATGTATTTTTATTGCATTGCTCATCAGACTGTGCTGAGGTGAGTTGAACAATGCTCATGCTCCCTCTCAAACTCTAAATTCTATAACTGCAGGGCTAAATTATCTGACTCTCGTACATCTTTGATTGACTCTGGAAAATGCCACCAATGAGGCACTCCATTTCATTTTTGGTTAGATTTTTACACATACAGTGTGTGTATGTGTGTGGCACAAGATAAGTGTCTGTGAAAGCAGAAGACACATTAGAGGAACCAGTGGTGGGGCGATGACACTGTTCTAGACCCAAATGTCAACCTGCGTGACTTCTTCCCAAGACTGCTCTGCAGTTTCAAGGCAGGTCCTGTTGGTTTGTTTTGGTTCAGAAGGCTTCCCCACCATCCCAAACGGCTGCAATGCCTGAAACCAGGGGAAATGCCAGTCCTAGAACAGTTCTATGGCAGACCACTGGCCCTGAGGGTTGGTGAGTGTGGCTTCTCTACAGACCAGGCTGGGACATGATCACCCATTAGCCAGAAATCATAGCCTAGGGAGTCTGGTGTGTGAGAATTAGATCTCATTTTGTTAGAATCTTGACTCAGTTACCTTCTTGCTGGTTGAGCCTGGACAAGGCACTGCACATCTCAAATCCCTGTCTTCTCACCTCCAAAATTCATGGAGGTATTAATACCTATGGACAATTTTTTTTTTATTGAGACAGGGTCTGGCTCTGTGCTCTGTTGCCCAGGCTGGAGTGCAGTGGTGTGATCACAGGACTCAAGTGATCCTGGACCTCCTGGACTCAAGTGATCCTCCCACCTCAGCCTCCCAAGTAGCTGGGACTGTAGGCACATGCCATCATGCCTGGCTAATTTTTCTATTTCCTGTAGAGTCAGAGTCTTGCCATGTTGTTCAGTCTGGTCTCAAACTCCTGGGCTGGCCCTAGCCTTCCAAAGTGCTGGGATTACAGATGTGAGCCACCGCAGCCAGCCTAATAGTGTGGTTAATTGTTACTGTCATCAAGGGCTTGCCAAACACTTCTATAACAGTTTCCCCAGCCACCTCCATTCCCAGCACCCGTGCTTCTCTTCCCAAAAACTTATATTTGAGTTTCATTCTTTCATTTTTCCATTTCTGGGGCTCAGGGGTTGAAGAAAGATAGATGCTTCAACCACCTTCAATTATCTGCTGATAACTGAAGGTTCCTCTTCATTCCTGAGAATGGGGTATAGAAAGCGTGTCCTTGGGTATGAGGTAATGGGCCTGGAGGAGCTGCCCAGCTTTCAGGAAGCTCTCCTTGTTTCCAAGAGGCAGCTGGAGGACTGGGTGTTGTGGGAAGTAGAAAAGTTCCTCTTCAAAGTTTGCGTTAGTTTAATAAAAATTTGTGTTAGAAATAATAGTTTGTTTCAAATACTTTCTTCAAAAGCCCTATTCTATGTAGCTGTTAGACATGCTTACAGGCACATAGTACATTCTATGTCCTTGTACTTTAACCAAGGTATCTGTGCTGGATGTGCTCACAGGCATGTCCCAGCTCACAGCTTAGGCCCCTTCATTATTTGGACTTCTGTTTTTTTTTTTTTTGCTCTTGATTGCTTTTATTTGTTTAGAAAAGTTTCAAGTTATTAGCCAATCGGGTTTTAGTTTAAATTTTGAGGCCTGGCTCCAGCCAACAGAGATCAGACACAGCAGTAAGAGCAACCCCAAATGCGTAAGAAATAAATATGTCTGCTTTCCTTTTTTCATTGCACTCTCATGGCAAGATTGCTAATGAGAGTACCTTTTCTGCAGAAAGTAAAAAGAATTGCTTTGCTGAGAGATCCTTTGTCCCAGTACTAATTTTCCTTTGCTGCACGAAAAAGAAAAATGTTATACACAATAATGTGAAAACTGTTGCCTGGGCTTCTGCCTGCAAGCACCTACTCCTGAGTGCATTTTCTTATCCACCAGTTCATAGAGCCCAGATACTCTATTATTTCTGTCTGGAACAACCTTCCCTCCTCTAGCTGTCTGGAAAATTGCTACCTGACCTTCAAAACTCATCTCCAATGCCTCCTTCTCTGTGAAGCTTCCCAGATCCCATCCCAGGCAGAGTTTCATCTCTTGGGTACCAAAATCATCATGAATGCATTTTTATTAAATTGCTCATCAGACTATGCTGAAATGTGTTGAACAATGCTCATGTTTCCTGTTAAACTCTAAATTCTGTAACTGCAGGGCTAAATTACCTAACTCCCATACATTTTCTTTTTTTGAGTCAGAGTCTCGCTTTGTCACCCAGGTGTGCAGTGGCATGATCTCAGCTCACTGCAATTGCAATTTCCGCCTCCTGGGTTCAAGCTAATTTTTGTATTTATTGTAGAAACAGGGTTTCACCTTGTTGTCTGGGCTGGTCTTGAACTCCCAGCCTCAAACGATCTGCCTGCCTCGGCCTCCCAAAGCATTGGGATTACAGGTGTGAGCCACTGCGCCCAGCCAAACTCCCATACATCTTTGATTGACTCTGGAAAATACTACCAATGAGACACTCAATTCCATCTTTGGTTTGATTTCACCATTAAAAATTCTTTGTTAGGTTGAACCACACAGTTGCCTTCCTTAACACCCACCTTCCAGTAGTATGAAGCAGGTGATTCTATGCTTCCCCTTTCATGAAGGTCTTCAGATAGTAAGGTCAGTGTATTAGTCTATTCTTGCATTGCTTTAAATAAATATCTGAGACTGGGTAATTTATAAAGAAAAGAGGTTTCATTGGTGAATGGTTCTACAGGCTGTACAGGAAGGGTAGTAGCTTCTGCTTCTGGGGAGGCCTCAGGGAACTCACGATCATGGTGGAAAGTGAGGGAGAAGCAGATGTCTTACATGGCAGGAATAGAGGCAGGGAGAGGTGTTACACACTTTTTTTCTTTGAGACAGAGTTTTGCTCTAGTTGCCCAGGATAGAGTTCAGTGGCACAATCTCGGCTCACTGCAACCTCCATTTCCTGGGTTCAAGCGATTCTCTTGTCTCAGCCTCCTGAGTAGCTGGGATTACAGGCACCTGTCACTACGCCTGGCTAATTTTGTATTTTTAGTAGAGACTGGGTTTTACCATGTTGGCCAGGCTGGTCTCGAACTCCTGACCTCAGGTGATCTGCCTGCCTCGGCTTCCCAAAGTGCTGGGATTACAGGCATGAGCCACCATGCCCAGCCACTACACACTTTTAATAACCAGTCTCGCAAGAACTCACTGTCACGACCAAGGGGGATGGTGCTAAACCATTCATGAGAAACCACCACCACGATCCAATCACCTCCCAGCAGGCCCCACCTCCAACACTGGGGATCACAATTCACCCTGGGAGTTGGGTGGGGACACAGGTCCAAACCATACCAGGCAGCTCTCACCTGTCTCAAGAGTCTTCCCTGACTGTGCCTTGTAGTGTCCCTAGCTATTACCTGCAGGGCATCCTGACCGCTTCACCCCTGCACTTCTCCCTACCCCAAAGGTCTTGTGCATTTATCTTGTTTGTCATTGGTCTCCTGATGGAGATAGTAGAGTCCAGGGAAGCAGGGATCTTGCCTGGATGATTCACCTCTGAATGTTTTATGCTCAGTCTAGGGAATGACACATTTTGTCGAATGCATGGATGAATGGTAGTCAAGAGCTTGGATCGGATAAGAAAATCAGGATGGTATGTAACTAAAGACAGCCTTGAAGGCCATCTGAGTGAGGAATAACTCCACAGGAATAAGTTTTTCATGACAAAGAGCTCCAAGGACTGGGCAAGATGGCTCATGCATGTAATCCCAGCAAGTTGGGAGGCTGAGGCAGACAGATTACAAGGTCAGGAGTTCAAGACAAGCCCGACCAGTGTGGTGAAACCCTGTCTCTACTAAAAATACAAAAATTAGCCAGGTGTGGTGGCACATGCCTTTAGCCCCAGCTACCTGGGAGGGTGAGGCAGGAGAATCTCTTGAACCCAGGAGGTGGAGGTTGCAGTGAGCCAAGATTGCGCCACTGCACTCCTGCCTGGGTGACAGAACAAGACTCCATCTCAACCAAAACAAAACAAAACCAAACAAACAAAAAATGTAAAGTCAGACTTGCAGCAATGGGATCTTGTCATGTCATCCAGGCTGGTCTTGAACTCCTGGACTGAAGTGATCCTCCCACCTTTGCTTCTCAAGGTGCTGGCATTACAGGCATGAGCCACTGTGCCCAGCTGATTTTGTTCTTTTTTATGGCTGCCTAGTATTCCATGGTGTCTATATACTACATTTAAAAAAAAATCAAGTCCACCATTGACAGGCACCTCGGTTGATTCCACGTCTTTGTTATTGTGAACAGTGCATGATAAACATGCCCATTTGGTAGAAAGACTTATTTTCCTTGGCTCATCACATATTTCTCTTTGCTTCAGATTCTCAGCCAGGCATTTAGACCCAAGCCCTTCTCTCTGTTTGCTCACTTAGCTTGTTGCTTCAGCTTCATCATTCCCTATTTCACCTCCCAGCCTTTTTGGTATCTGGTGTCTGCTTTGGTTACAGGACTCCTGGGATGAGGGGTATTGAAGCATTTCACCATTTATGTGACTGTCTTTAACTTGAACCTCAAATTTGTGACTACAGGGAGCAGTGAGTAGCCCTTCGCTGGGGTGTGGCCAAGTGTCTCATTCAGAGATGCCAGTTGCATCTCTCCCATTGCATGCCTTGGAGAGACACTAATTGATCAAGTTTTCTCCCTCCTGTGTACCGATTCTAGCTGCAACCTCATCACCCTCCTCAAGACGCCATCCCAAAAGGCCACTACCAATCAATGGCAATTGGCATGTGAGATGGAAATTATTCACCACCCCATGCAGGCTTCTTGCCATAGGTCAGCTATTCTTCCTGCAGCTAAAGCGCATTGTGTGAAACATGGAGGATGTGAATCAGTCAGTGGCTCCAGACTTCATTCTGGTGGGCCTCTTCAGTCACTCAGGATCACGCCAGCTCCTCTTCTCTCTGGTGGCTGCCATGTTTGTCATAGGCCTCCTGGGCAACACTGCTCTTTTCTTCTTGATCCATGTGGACTCCCGGCTCCACACACCCATGTACTTCCTGCTCAGCCAGCTCTCCCTGTTTGATGTTGGCATCCTCATGGTCACCATCCCCAAGATGGCATCAGACTTTATGCGGGGGGAAGACGGCATCTCTTATGGAGGTTGTGCAGCTCAAATATTCTTCCTGACATTGATGGGTGTGGCTGAGGGCATCCTATTGGCCCTCATGTCCTATGATCGTTATGTCGCTGTGTGCCTGCCCCTGCAGTATGCAGTACTTATGAGACGCCAGGTGTGTCTGCTGATGGTGGGTGCCTCCTGGGTGGCAGGTGTGCTCAACGCCTCCATCCAGACCTCCATCACCATGCACTTCCCCTACTGTGCCTCCCGTACTGTGGAGCACTTCTTCTGTGAGGTGCCAGCCCTGCTGAAGCTCTCCTGTGCAGACACCTCTGCCTACGAGTTGGCGCTATCCACCTCGGGGGTGCTGATTCTAATGCTCCCTCTTTCCCTCATTGCAACCTCCTACCGCCACGTTTTGCAGGCTGTTCTAAGCCTGCACTCAGAGGAGGCCAGACACAAGGCTGTCACCACCTGCTCTTCACACATCACAGCAGTGGGGCTCTTTTACGGTGCAGCCATGTTCATGTACATGGTGCCTGGCGCCTACCACAGTCCACAGCAGGATAATGTGGTTTCCCTCTTCTATAGCCTTGTCACCCCTACACTCAATCCCCTTATCTACAGTCTGAGGAACCGGGAGGTTCGGATGGCTTTGGTCAAAGTGATTAGCAGGGCTGGACTCAGGCAAATGTGTTGACTACGTAAAAACTGCTGGTGAAGATTCCAGCAGTCCTCGATCCCACACACCTTCCCAAAGTGGGTGGCTGGGACTGAGGACTGTCAATTGTCAATCTGTGCAACTGGCCAAATATCCAGTCATTGCACAAAGTGCAACTTTTTGAGACAATGTCTGCCTTTTAAATTGTGGCAGAATACACATAACATAAAATCAACCACTTTTAAGTGTACAATTCAGACGTAAGTGCTTATGTCTAAGGCTAAGTGTCTGTCCAGTTCCTGCTCATGACAAGCTAGGTTCATGTTTTCCCTCATGGACTTGTGGTGAGCAATGGTGATCATCCCAATCACATTCAGCATATTTTTCTCTCTCTCTCTTTTCTTTTTGTAACAGAGTCTCACTTCGCGGTCCAGGCTGGAGTACAATGACATGGTCATAACTCACTGCAGGGTCAAGGGGTCCTCCTGCCTCAGCCTCCTATCTGGGAATATAGGCTGTGCCACCACGCCCAGCTATTTTGTTCATTTTTTGCAGAGATGGGGTCTCACTATGTTGCCCAGACTGGTCTTGAGTTCCCGGGCTCAAGGAATCCTCCCATCTCAGCCTCCCAAAGTGCTGGGATTACAGACAGTATATTATTTCTCTAACAATGTACTCCCCTCCTTTTTAAAAGATGGATCTCATCTGTCACCTAGACTGAACTGCAGTGGTACAATCTCAGCTCACTGCAACTTCCACCTCCCAGGTTCAAGCAATCTTCCCGCCTTAACCTCTCAAGTAGCTGGGATTACAAGTGTGTGGCACCATGCCTAATTTTTGTATTTTTAGTAGGGATGGGGTTTCACCATGTTGGTCATGCTGGTCTTAAAGTCCTGACTTCAAGTGATCTGCCCACCTTGGCCTCCCAAAGTTCCGGGATTACAGGTGTGAGCCACTGTGCCCGCCCAGAAATATTAATATATTATAAAGCTAATATTTAGACATTATAAAACTAGCAAAACTCTGAAGAAGTGAGAAGAAAAAATAAATCACAGGCAACTTAGATATTTTATCAAAAAAGGCATATTTACAGTGTCTATCAGGTGGTAAGTAAAATATACAAATTAATTCAAAATATATAAGGAACCCCAACAACTCAGCAGAAAAAAAAATCTTTGTTTTTTGAGTTGGAGTCTCACTGTTGCCCAGGCTAGAGTGCAGTGGCTCAATCTCAGCTCATCGAAACCTCCACCTCTCAGGTTCAAGCAATTCTCCAACCTCAGCCTCTTGAGTAGCTGGAATTACAGGTGCCTGCTACCACGTCTAGCTAATTTGTGTATTTTTAGTAGAGATGGGGTTTCACTACGTTGGCCACGCTGGTCTCGAACTCCTGACCTCGTATGATTTGCCCACCTGGGCCTCCCAAAATGCTGGGATTATAGGCATGAGCCTCCATGAATCTCCACCCTGAATCCCCACAAACTCACTCCACCTCCTCATCTTTTATTCAGGGTCACAGACTCATCATCCACTTCCTGTGAGACCTGATCCCAATCTATCCTAACTCCCAGCTGTTCTTGTTCTCATCCCCATCTGCCTGAGTTTCCCTGGGTTAGGAAAAGGAAGGGAAGGAGGGTTGGTGCCCACGGGGAGCATTTTACTCTTTGAGGAGCACATGAAGGAGAGAATTAGAAACTTCTCCTTGGGTTTGAGGACATGGAGAAATACAGTGAGATGCCAGATATCTGACACGTCTGTCTATACAGGTAATGTAGGAATGGGATTTTAGGATGCAAATAAAAGTGACAAAAAAGGAAGGAATTCGTTGGGCATGGTGGCTCATGCCTATAATCCCAGCACTTTGGGAGGCCAAGGGAGGAGGATTGCTTGAGTGTAGGAGTTTGACAGCAGCCTGGGAAACATAGTGAAACCTAGTCTCTGTTGTAAACAGAAAATTTAGTGGGGCATGATGGTGCACACCTGTGTCCCAGCTACTCAGGAGGCCCTGGTGGGAGGATCACCTGAGACTTGGAGGTGGAGCCTGCAGTCAGCCAAAATCATGCCACTGAACTGCAGTCTAGACAATCAGAGCGAGACACTGTCTCAATAAAATCAGTAAGTAAATAATAAAAATAAAAAATAAAAAAGGAAGAAAAAATTTTTTCTTAATAGATCACTAACTCCTCACATCATGTCCTACAATCTCCCTTCTTGCAGACCACAGAGCCCCTTCCCTGTGGAGCTGGGTGGGTGGATTGAAAGCAGGGCAGCCCTGAGACACCTTTGCAGTTGGGTTGTAGAAGCCTTCCCAGCACCTTGTGATGACTTACAGGTGCCTCACTTTTCTCTTGCCCCAAATTTAAAACACCCAATCTCATTGCAGGTTCATGCATCTCTTCCTCCTTCCTGCTCTCCAACAAACACTCACACACTCCACAGGCGGGTCACCCTGCAGGTGTCCCCAGTACACAGCACAGCTCACCTGCTCCCTCCTGTGTGGTCGCTCCTGGATTCCGTGCAGTAATCACTGGGGCTTCTTGGGCGCCGGGAACCTTTCATGGTTTAAATTTCCAGTCTTCTCCAAGTCAGCCAATGCCAGTGTTTCTGTGTCCTGCAAAGATTTCTTTTTGGCCCCTGGATTCTTTACTTCCTTTGAGAGAGGAGTGTCAGCTCCAAAACTGGTCCCAAAGACTTGGGCTGTGGAGCAACTGAACTGTGGCCAGCAGCAGGAGGATCAGCCTCTCACAGCTGAGCTCTTGAGGGAATCCTTTATGCTGTCAGCAAGGGGTGGAGCCAGGGGATTTGTCAGCAGAAACTGACATGATTGGCAGTTCCTGGTATGACAATGGGAGGGGCCTGCAAGGAGGATTTGGGCGTAACTCAATAGATAATCAGTCTACAGAATCTGGCTAATCCGATCAGCAGCCAACCTGTTTCCTGTCCCCCTCCCATCCTCTAGGTCTTGCCTAATAATGATAGACCCTTTCTGTAATGCCCAATTCATGCATCACTGAAATACATTTGATGTGTGCCTTTTATATTTTCATGGAATAAAAATATGTTAGTTTTCACAGTGGATATCCTGGGGAATGTTATCTTTATGAAATGACATTTCAAGTGAACCGAAGCAGAAGGAAATTCACAAGCATCTCCTGAGAGTCTCTGGTTGAATTCCTACCATGTTTTCTAAATAATCTGGCTTCTTTCTTGCTATCCAATTAGGAAGGTGCTTTAGAAGTTCAACCTTAGAGCATTTGACAAATACTGTGTAGAATTTCAGGATGAGCTGAAGGAAATTTTGACTGGATTTGTGAATGTGTCTATGAAAGTGTGTGCGTGAGGCGGGGAGCATAGCCAGAGTGAAGTGGCGGTTCCTTGGGTGTGGACTCTTCTTTGTCTTAAGAAAGTTCACTGCTGTTAACTCATTGTGGGCTTTGTGGACATTTTCTTTCTTTCTTTCTTTCTTTTTTTGAGACAGAGTTTTGCCCTGTCACCCAGACTGGAGTGCAGTGGTGCAATCTCAGTTCACTGCAACTTCAGCCTCCCAGGTTCAAGTGATTCTCCTGCCTCAGCCTCCCAAGTGGCTGAGACTACAGGCACCTGCCACCATGCCTGGCTAATTTTTTTGTATTTTTAGTAGAGATGGTTTCACCATGACGGCCACTCTGGTGTTGAACTGTTGACCTCAAGTGATCCACCTGCCTCGGCCTCCGTAAGTGCTGGGATTATAGGTGTGAAGCACCGCACTCAGCCCGTGGACATTTTCTGATAGTTACACTAAGACATCCACTATATATAACCATGTTTAAAGAACGTCTCTTATTGCAGTCTGTATTTTTTTTCTACTTACCTTCTCCATCTTCTCTGCTCCTATTTCTGCTCAATAAATCTCTTCAAAATGAAACCTAATCTGTGCACCTTTTCCCTCAAAATATTTCATTTCTGTGTCTAACCAATATTCATTGAAAAGGATAGAGTCTATGCCATTCACTCTTTTAAAAAATCTTTTTAATTAATTAATTTATTTAAGACTGAGTCTTACTCTGTCACCCAGGCTGGAGTGCAGTGGCATGATCTTGGCTCACTGTAACCTCCACTTCCCGGTTCAAAGGATTCTCCTGCCTCGGCCTCCTAAATGGCTGGTTTACAGGCATGGACCACCATGCCAGCTAATTCTTCTATTTTTTTTTTTTAGCAGTGACAAAGTTTCACTATGTTGGCCAGGCTGTTCTCAAAATCCTGGCTTCAGGTCATCTGTCCACCTCGGTCTCCCAAAATGCTGGGATTACAGGTGTAAGCCACTGTGCCTGGCACCATTCACTCTTACACTACTGTAAGTTTTCATACTATTTTCTATCATTCTCCATCATGCTTGAAATGAAAGGGAATGTCTTTAGGGGAGCATTCCTAATGAACATCCTAGGATAAATAAAGCAGGGAGGAAAGGGCATGATTGAGAAATGAATAAACAAAAAGTCACTGTTCATGTTTAAATTCTTTGTAGAAAGGAAGAGATAGTAGGAAGCAGAATGAATTATAGAATACAAGATCCCCTAGAAGAAAGGAATTATACATCCCCTAGATGTATAATTCCTTTTCTGATATCATTTCTATCCCAAGTTCTCTCTCTTCTCCTTTAAGAAGATCGCACTTGTCTCTTGAACTATTTTTCATGTTCCAATGTTGTCCACTCAGTGTTGGTTGGGATATTGGCTCTTGATCTGTCTACTTGCTTTGGTTAGATTTTCATCTATGTTAAAATTTCTTTTGTTTTCTTTACCTTTTTCTTTCTTTCTTTTTTTTTTTTGAGACAGAGTCTCGCTCTGTCACCCAGGCTGGAGTGCATGATCTCGGCTCACTGTAACCTTCATCTCCTGGGTTCAAGCGATTCTCCTGCCTCAGCCTCCCAAGTAGCTGTGACTACAGGTGCACCCCACAAAGTCTGGCTCATCTTTGTATTTTTAGTAAGATAGGGTTTCTCCATGTTGACCAGGCAGTGAGCTGAGATCACACCACTGCATTCCAGCCTCAGTGATAGAGTCAGACCCTGTCTCTAAAAAAGAAAGAAAG